AGTGTGAGTTTGTAACTTCTAGAAGTTTCCTGCTGCTATAATACTGTTCTAAGTTTTTATAGGTTTAAGTATAAATTTGTAGCTGAAAATACTCACTGACTGTCACTCGAGGATTCCCGAGTGCGTCTGTCTGTTCTCTGGGATGGTGACTGGCACTGCTTACTGCTGATCCTTCATTTACTTCTGTCTAATGTTTCTCCTTCTAAGATTGAAAAGGCTGTGGTGTCGCAGCGCCTCACAGAGTCTCCCTGTGCTCTGGTGGCCAGCCAGTATGGATGGTCTGGCAACATGGAGAGGATCATGAAGGCACAAGCATACCAGACTGGCAAGGACATCTCTACAAAGTAAGAAACTGGGGATGTCCCTACCAAGGTGTCAGCTCTTGTTCTTCAGATCTGCTACATGTATCATCATAGTTTTGCTTTAGAGTAAGAATAATGTCCACATTTATATCATGACTCACTAGGGGTTTGGCTTTGTTTTGGGTTGTTTGGTTGGTTGTTTTTGAGATAGGGTTTCTGCATAGCTCTGGCTTTCCTGGAACCCTGTAGGTCAGGCTCGCTTTGAACTCATGGAGACCCACTTACCTCTGCCTTTCCCTACTGCTGGGGTTAAAGGCATTTCAGACCATGCCTGGCTTTCTACTGCTGTGTATCTTCTATCCAACATTGTAATGCCATTTAAAATCCAACTATCAGTGTCAGGAAAGTTAACTTTGTCAGGATGACAAAGTACCCTAAGTCCTAGATGGATGTGTGGTATATCTGGCCTTGGAAAATGCTAATGAGTATGGTTGTGCACAGAATGCACTGGAAACGTAATTGGAATTAATTTAAAAATAAGTGAATTTTTACAGACCCACACTGGTAAAGGCATATTGAAGATTATATAGATCATATATTTACACGGCATTCATAACTATGTGTATAGTTAAAATCTGAAGGGGATGAACAAGACATTAAACCAGTTCATTTACTCAGCAGAGCTTTGACTCATCATTAAGTACTTTTTATTTCATTTTTCATCTGACCATGGCTATTCTCCCTATCAAAGGAGGCTTTTTTCCTGTAATTAAAGCTAGACTACAGTAGGCATGTAGACCCTAAAATTAGTGTCTTAACCTAATGCTCATTTTGTCCCTAAACAGTTACTATGCCAGTCAGAAGAAAACATTTGAAATTAATCCTAGACACCCACTGATCAGAGACATGCTGCGGCGGATTAAGGTGATTGATGGCAGGGCTGCTCTCTTGGTGTCTTAAACTGGAATGCTTTGTAACCCTTAATACTGATGTTAACCAAATGTACCTTCTACCAGGAAGATGAAGATGACAAGACTGTCATGGATCTTGCTGTAGTTTTGTTTGAAACGGCAACACTTCGGTCAGGATATCTTCTACCAGACACCAAGGCATATGGAGACAGAATAGAAAGAATGCTTCGGCTCAGTTTAAACATTGACCCTGAAGCACAGGTGTGTATGTATGTCCTTAGCTCTCCCGTGTCTGACCCCTAGAGTGATACCACCTGTGAAATTAACAAGAAGTCTCCTTCTCTGTCTTCTTTCTCTTCCACCCTCTACCCTGGACACAGGGTCTCTCTTTGTAGCCCTGGCTGTCCTGGAACTCATTGTGTAGATCAGGCTGGGCTCGAACTGGAGGATCTGCCTGCCTTTGCCTCCAGAGTGCTGGGATTGCCACCACCACTCAGCTTGGCTTCTTCTTTTTCTCGTTCTTGATAGCTTCCCTGTTAAGGCAGATCAGATTTACTACAGTACTTGTTAAAACACCCATTATGATATTAAACATTTCAGAGCAAAGTGAAGGTAGACGGAGGGCATTACAGGTTTATGGATGTTGCTTTTAGGTAGAGGACGAACCAGAAGAAGAGCCTGAAGACACCACAGAAGACACTGAAGACTCAGAGCAGGATGAAGAAGAGATGGACGCAGGGACAGAAGAGGAAGAAGAACAGGAAACAGAAAAGGTCAGAGAGATGGGCAGATGGGGCAGCATGAGTCTGGCAAGACTTCCTAATATCTAGTCACAAAGGAGTAAATCCACATAGAAGTCAGCATTTGATACCAGCCTCAGAAGCTTTGGGGGAGGCTGTTTATCTCTTTATTTTTTTTTTCAACCATTCACAGGATCTTTTTAAGCAGATTGCTTTCCCCACCCCCAGTGCTTGTGTGTGGAAACATTTGGTTGGACTTTTTTTTGATGGGGAAGGGGTGTCCTTTCTAGGTAGTCCTGGCTTGCCTTTGCCTCCAAAATGCTAGGATTAAAGGTGTAAACTAGTACACCTCGATAGCAGTAGGTCGTTGATCCTGTGAGTTTTGAATTATCTTGCCAATAAGCAAATACCAACAAACAGTAGAAATGGTTTGAATGTGAGCCTTTCTGTAAGGTTAAGGTTGGCTGCTAGTTTGTAATGTCTTCTGATCTTTGTTTTCACAGGAATCTACAGAGAAGGATGAATTGTAAATTATACTCTGACTATGAATCCTGTGTGGAGAGGGAATGTGAAAGTTGAAAGTCATTTCTTTTGAGAGACTTGGTTTGGATGCTCCCCCAAGCTTCCTCCCCTGCACTGTAAAATGTTGGGATTATGGGTCACAGGAAGAAGTGGTTTTTTTAGTTGAATTTTTTTTTTAACATTCCTCCTGAATGTAAATTTGTACTATTTAACTGACTATTGGTGTAAAATCTTGTCATGTGTATAAAAATAAAAAAAAAATCCCAAATACCCAGTGCTTATTTTCTTAACACAAACCAGGAATTATCTAATACTTGACTTATTTTTCTTCCTGTCTGTTGGGTTCTTTAAAAAAAAAACAACAATAGTTTGTGGTTTGGTGTGTTTCAGACCATGTTTTTTACAAAACAAATCCCAAGCACATATAAATATTCCCCTTCCAGGGATCAGAACATAATTTTCTGAGTGGCCACTCGACTTGGGATGTTATGTGCAGGATGGGGAAAATGAGTATTTAATATCCTCAAAGATTATAATTAAAAAGTAACCTACCAGTGCTCTGAGACATGCTCTCACAAGCTTGTAACTCCCAACTGGCCTAGAAAAGATTTGCCTGCCTCTTGAGTGCAGGGGATTAAAGGCATGTATACCATGGTCATTTTATTTTATTTAGTGTGGTGGTACACTTGGGAGACAGGCCTCTGAGTTCAAGATTTGCATCACAGCCAGTTCCAGGACAGTTTTTGCTTTGCCTGCCTGTATGTATGTATGTATATAACGTGTTTCTACTGTCCATGAAAGCAAGGCAGGCAGATCTACTTAATTAGCAAGTTCCAGGCCAGATAAGGTTACATAGTAAGACCCTCTCAAACAAAAAAAAAAACCTCAGCTTCGGAGTCCCCGCCTGCTCATTAGGGTGGGCATACAAAAAATATCTTTACAATGTAGATGCAGTTCTGGAACTTAGTGCTCTTGGAGAACCTGGGTTCATAAATATGAAGGCAATGCATTCATATACACAGATATTTTTTAAAAACTGTTGCATAAATTACTTCTGTTGTATATTTATAGGTTGAACACAATCTTGAAACAAGTTCATTTCCTATAGCTTATTTATGTAGCAAACTAGGCCTAGAACAAGAGAGGTGTTATCAGTTCTGAAGACCTTGCTGTGTGTAGAATCCTTCCTTTGCTCTTCCAGGCTTTGGGTGGAGGCCTTCAATGCTTGGTGTTCTTGGCTTGCAGTTCTAACAGTGCCCTCCCTGCATTTCTTCCCATGGCATTAAGGCTGGTCACAGTGCATTAGGCTTACCCTCATGGCCTCATCCTATAGTCACATGCATGGACACTGAGGGCTAAAAGGTCCGATTTTTAGGGACATACTTCAACTCAGCATATTTAGGTTTTTGTGTATAGAAAACTAGGCTGGAGAGATGGCTCAGAGGTTAAGAGCACTGACTGCTCTTCCAGAGGTCCTGAGTTCAATTCCCAGCAACCACATGGTAGCTCAAAACCATCTGTAATGGGATCCGATGCCCTCTTCTGGTGTGTCTGAAGACAGCTACAGTATACTCATATACATAAAATAATTCTTTTAAAAAAAGAAAAAATGCCAATTTTACCTTGCTTTCATTTGGGGATTTAAGTATCTTGACAAGTTAAATCACCAATGCTGCAATTCCATTAGGTACATAATTCCAAAGAACTTTGAACTTCAAATATTTTTATATAGTTTAGTACAGATTTTTTGATATCAATTTAGACCCTATAAGCATTATCACTGATTTTTATCTTATGAAACTTATAACTTGCCATTATCAAGCTCATTCAGAGAAGAATCAAATTGAAGGAGCCACTGCAAATGGTCTCGTGTGATAACTGACAGTAAGCACCTACCCAGTCAAAGGCTCTTAGGCAGTTCTTTGTTTTTTTTTTTTTTTTTTTGGTTTTTCGAGACAGGGTTTCTCTGTGTAGCCCTGGCTGTCTTGGAACTCACTCTGTAGACCAGGCTAGCCTCAAACTCTCGCACTCAGAAATCCACCTGCCTCTGCCTCCCAAATGCTGGGACTAAAAGCGTGCGCCACCACCATCCAGCTGATTTTTTTTTTTTTTTTTTTGGTGCTTAGGCAGTTCTTAAGAGACACTGGACCAGGCACAGTCCTTTAGACCTGGGAAATGGAAGCAGGAGGACTCCTTAAGGTCAGCACTGGCTAAACACACAGCAAGACCTTTTTGTAGAGACCTACAGATCCTGTGAACTGGAGGCCAGCCTGATCTACATACCAAGTTATACGTGAGCCAAAATATATAATGAAACTATCTTTAAAAATATTAAGATTTATTTATCATGTATACAGCATTCTGTCTATGGGACAGAAGAGGGCACATCTCATTATAGATGGTTGTGAGCCACCATGTGGTTGATGGGAATTGAACTCTGGACCTCTGGAAGAGCAGACAGTGCTCTTAACTTCTGAGCCATCTCTCTAGCTCCCTAGATTAGGTGTTATAAAAAGTAGTTTTACTTAATAAAATTTAAAATATATATTTAAAACATTATTCACAGGATTCTTGGCACAGCTGTATTTTGAAGTTTCTACTGCTGTGAAACCTGAGGTTCATGATGTCTCTCTTTCAGTCCCAAAAGCTCCGTTTTGAGTTCTCCAGGCTTTGGTGGAATTTCAGGTATTGTCTACAAAAAAAAGACAAAAGACAAAAAAACAGATACCACCACATTCTGAGACAACAGTTCAATGTGATCTAAAAAGCTCTAGAAAGAACAAAAGCCTCATACATGCTACTGATAACAGACCATTATTATGAGGACTCCTGGCTGATCTAAACTTTTGCTGTCTGAATACATTGTCCTGCAAGTCTTTTTTGGGGGGGGAGGGAGGGCAGGTTTCAAGACAGAGTTTCTATCTGTAGTCCTGGCTGTCCTAGAACTCACTCTGTAGACCAGGCTAGCCTCAAACTCAGAAATACACCTGCCTCTGCCTCCCAAGTGCTGGGATTAAAGGCGTGCATCACCACTGCCCGGCTTGTCCTGTAAGTCTTAAGTCCTACTGGATTCACAGGGATAAATCCAATTGATTCACAATTGTAATTTCACATGAGAATTCGACATTTGAAAATCTATTCCCACACTATTTGCTCACTGTCTACCATGCACCAGGCCTGGGAAATAACTATTGATACCTAATGCACCCAAAAGGCAGAAGTGGCCATCATGTGACATGCACTGTCATGAGCAACACATACACAACTCTACATTTCAGGAAGGCAGAAGGAAATGGGTGCAGCATGTGTATGGCTGAGTTTGAGTCCCAGCACCACGAAGGAGAAGAAAAAAAAAACAATGGTTTTCAATAGAATTAGAACTGTGTGTCTATCACAAAATTGTAGAATATTTTTACTTCTAAAAAGAAACTCCTTTTCCATTCCCAAGTGGTTCCCACAAGCCAATTCTGTCCCCATATATTTGCCCATCATATATCATGTGGTCTTTTGTGGCTCAGTCCTTTCATGTAGTGTTTGCAAGGTTCACTCATGTAGGATCACTGAATGATATTCCCTTATATAGATGTACCACTTTTTCTATAGGTATTCAGGTATTTGGATTGTTCCCACATATGAACATGTACAGAATCAAACAAATAAGTATAACAGATGTCTTGGTTGTGTTGGATAGAAACCTAAACTGGGTATTGCTGTAACATATATGCTGTTTGAGGAACTGGCAGACTACTTATATATCAAAGCAGCTGCGTGACATTCTAGTCCTGAGAGTAGTACATGAAGGTTCCAATTTCTTCCTGTCCTTGACAACTGTTGTTTTATTATGGCCATCAGAGTAGTGGTTCTGACTGCAGACTGCATTTTTCTGGTTGTTAAGACAATGAGCACTTCTATACAGGCTTTTGGCTCAGAAGGTCACTTCAGAACACAGACAAGGATGAGGAAGCAGTCTCACAGGTGTCTAAGAATGTTTCAGGCTAATAGGATCACAAGGGCAGAGGACCTGACCAAAGACTGTGCTTCATGTTCAAGGAAAAGCACCAGTACCTCTGACAGTGTTCAATAGGTTAGAAAGCTAGTTGGTGGGCAGTGGAGAAGACAAAGATTCAGTGGCTTATGCTTTGGAAGATACTGGTAAGTTTTGAAGAGAACGACATGGCGTGACTCCAGGATAAAAAAGACCACAATGGAAGCCCTGTTGAGAAGTTTCAGGGAAAGCAGGAGTGGAGAGCAGAAGCTGGGCAGGAAGCTACTGTCTTAACTGAAGGAAGAGATGAACTGAGGTGGCTGAGCTAGGGTGGGCACAAGGGTGGGCAGATGTGGATTTATTTTCCATATTCACCCAGTGGTATTTGATGAGGAGTCCAGTGAGAGATGAATTAGGATGAGTCCTGAGGTTCAGTCTAAACAACTAAAAGAATACAGTTGTCTCTTTTGCTGTCCTAATAAGTTACACTGGAGACCTAAAACAAAGCATCTCGGCAGTTCTCCCTAAGGGGGCACTGAGTGCCAACTTTGGGCACCCACCACGGTCTCCTCTGCTTTCTCCACAGACCTTTCAGTTACAACAGTGGTGGCTAGAATAATTCCAAAAGACAAGGTAGGTAAAGATCATAAATCCCTTAAACGATAGGAAAGCATACAGCATCCTACAGTAGCCAGCCACCTTGGCCTCTATCGGTAAAGATGCTCAACTACCAATATTACCACCTAACCAGACGGAGGTGGCCTAGGACCCTGAGTACCGCTCATTTTACAGACTGGTTTTCTGTTGCTTTCTCCACAAGTACAAGTAGCTGCTGTACAAGTACTGATAACAACCCTTGCACATCTCCAATAATAATGAGATGAATCAAGTCAACCTCACAGGATCAATTCTAGGCATTATTTCCTTGGTAAAGAGCTGCTGGTAACTACTGTTGCAGAGACACAAAACGGCATTTCCATGGAAAGTTCGTGCCACTTTCTGTTCCACTAAGCTTCTTGACACTTCACTCTATATATCCCAACTCCCACGACAGGGTTTCTCTGTGTGGCCCCGGATGCCCTGGAACTCGCTCTGTAGACCAAGCTGGCTCACCGTAACTATGAGACACAGTCTTGAGTGTTAAGAGAGAGCTGCTGCAGCACTAGTTATCCAAACAGTGGGAACAGTCTAAACGTCAAGAGGAACTAAGCAAATTGGACAGAACCCTGGGGTGTCACTCCAAGGGTGGGCACGAGCCCCACAGCACTCACCAGGTCAGGCCGGTAGTACCAGTGCACCACCTGGGCTCCGGCGCACATGGCTAGGAGGCTGGAGGAGAGCATCTTCAAGTAGGCGGACCAGGATACGCCCCCGGGCATGGTGGAGGGCTGGCAGGGACGGAAAGGGCACAGCGTTAGAGGACTGGGTAGCCTTCAGATGACCTGACGGCTGAGGCACCGGGGGTGCTGGAGGGGGCGGAGTCGCAACGCCCCCTCTGGTGCCCCCGTAACATACTCCCCCACGACCAGCGAGCGGAGGACCCACTATGTGCAGCCGGCGCTCGTAGAGCAGAAGGTGGGCCCGATGGTTCCTCGCCCCCTCAGCCTCTCAGGGAGACGCTGCAGCCCCTCGCTCCTACCCACGACTACGCACGCGGGAGACTGTACCGTGGCGTGCACGTGCGGGCGACGGGTCACAGGGTCCCTCCAGAGCCGACCGCCAGCGGGCAGGAACCAAAGTACAGGGTCCGGCGCAGCGACGGACCGGAAAACGAGGCAACGCGCGCGCGGGCGCACAAAAAGATTTCTGACGGAAGTGGGGCGCTGGAATTTATTTTATCTTATTCTATTTTCGGTGTTTGTTTTCCTTGACCACACTTTGGCTAGCCTGAGATCCTAGCTCCTGGTCACTCTCCCAATCCTGTGTTTGCGGTTCCTGACCTTTGTGGTGTTTACAGCATCGTTTGTCCTTTCGCACAAAGGAAACGCACGTGCCCCACGTGGTTAGGAAGAGGCGGGGTACAGCACAGGTCTTGTACACTCGAATGGAAGTTTTCCAAGGGGAGATCACGCTCCACAACATCCCTTCTTAACCTGTAAATCGGAAGACCTTTAGAAGGACTCACTGACCGTTTTCTGGGGCTGTGTATCAGATTTCCTGTGTATCAGATATCTACAAGTCATAATAGTAGCAAAATTACAGTTATAAAATAGCAACAAAATAAATTTTATTGTTGAGACTCACCACAGCCTGAGGGTATTACAATGAATAAAAAAATCCTGAGGATGTTACAGAGTGTCAGCATTAGGAAGGTTGAGAAACATTGCTCTAGAGAGAGAGGCTCAAAGTTTTATTCTCCCAGTGCCTGAGGCTCTTTGATACTTTACACAGAGCCACTCCCAGGCACAGTATCTTTGGATAAGGTTTTACTGGAAAAGAGACCTCCAATCTCGTTACTTAATCCATGAGTGTTTTTAAAGATCATTCTTTGATTGTGGCTTCATTTTTGTTAAGCAAATTTCAAGAATTAATTCTGAAGCATGAAGGTGGCATTGTGTTACAGGAATCATGATAACGTTTTTTTAAAGCTCTGGGCCCAAAATTGCTTAGGGGCTGAAGGGGGGTTGTCACTAAAACTGACGACACAATTTTGCTCCCCCAGGCCTACATGATGAAAGCAGAGAGACTGCTCTGTAAATTCTTTTCTTACACACAGACACACACGGACGCACACCGACACATGCACGCGCGTGCCTTTTTAAACTTCATGAAAATAAAAAAAATTAGTATTTAACTAAATAGTATTAAATTTGACATATAATAGTCTCACATAAAGTATGCAATTTTATGTATTTGCCACGGGTGCATCTGGAAGAGTATTCTCACAACTAAGACAATCAACATTATGCCCAAGTTGTTTTCTGTGACTGTTCCTGTGTGTGCACATGTGCGATTTAGACGTCGGAGGACAACTTCAGGGGCATCGCATCTCAAGCACTGTCCATTCCTCTCTTTTTCCTTTCATTTCTCTTCCAAACTGGGTGTCTCACTGACCTGGAGCTCCCAAAGTAGGATAGGTTAGCTGCCCAGTGAGCCCAAGAGATCGGCCTGTCTCTGCTTCACTAGAGCAGGGATTATAGCCTAGCCTAATTGGCGACCTCCAGGTTCCTATCTCAGAAATAAACATGTAAATGTGGTGGTTTAAATAGGTATGAGAAATGGCTTTGCTTTTAAGAGTGGGTAGGGCTCTGGCAGAGGACTAGGACACTGACAACACTCACTCAGACAGCTCACAACCACTTCTAGCTACAAACTTCTGGATCCCGTAGACACCTGTGCTCACATGCATGGACCCACACATCCCCACGTGCTTGTGATTCAAAATAAAATATTTTTCAAAAAGGCTGGGCATGGTGGCACACACCTTCAATTCTAGTACTAGGGAGTCAGAGGCAGAGACATCTTAGTGAGTTGGAGGACACTCTGGTCTACACGGCAAATTCCTGGACAGCCAAGAGTATGTAAAGAGACCGTGGTAGTTTGAATAGGCATGGCCCGCATAGAGACAAGTGTTTGAATGCTTGGCCCGTGGGGAGTGGCACTATTAGGAGGTGTGGCCTTGGAGGAAGTGTGTCACCGGGCTTTGAGGTCCAGCCAGGCTCAGTGTCTCACTCTCTTCCTGCTGCCTGCTGATCAGACATAGAACTCCCAGCTACCTCTCTAGCACCATGCATAACTCCTATGTGTCCCAGTGCTTCCTGCCATGATGACAGACTAAACCTCTGAAACTATAAGCCAGCCCCAATTAACTGTTTCCTTGTAAGAGTTGTTTTGGTCATGGTGTCTCTTCACAGTTATAGAAACCCTAAGACAGTAAGCAAATAAGATGCAGAGCAACTAGGAAGTTATTTAATGTCAACCTCTGGCTTCCTCACATATCTACACAGGTACATGCACACTCAAACAGACACATACTTACAACATACAAATTAAAATGCATCATAATAGTTCAAATTGGTCTTGAGTTTGCAGTGATCCTCCTGCCTCATCCTCTCAACTGCTGGGCTTATAAGAATGTACCTCCATCCACTGCTGTGGATCATAGACTACTGTACATTGTTTCCTTTGGTGAAATATCTGTTCAAATCTCTTGTCCATTTTTAAAGATTTATTTAATTTCATGTATTTGAGTGTTTCGCCTACATGTATATACTTGTGCACTCAGATGTCAGAAGAGGGTGTTGAACACTCTGGAACTGGAGTTACAGGTGGCTCTGAACCACCATGTGGATGCTGGGAACTGAACCCCAGTCCTTCGAAAGAACAACATGTGCTAAACTAACTGTCCAGCTCAACCTGTCCATTTTTTTAAAATCAAAATTTTTTAAAGTGTAAAATGTTCCTTATTTTGGATACAAGCCTTTTATCAGACACACTGCAAATATCTCTTTCCAAGCTATGCTTTGCCTTTTCCTTAGTAGTATAATAAAAAGTTTTAAAAATTTAAATAAATTCCAAATGTATTACCCCACCCATCCCTTTTTGAGACAAGGTCTCTGTCTTAGGGTTTGTATTGTTTTGAAGAGATGCTAAATGTTTTCTTATAAAGGAAAACATTTAACTGGGGCTGGCCTACAGTTTCGGTGGTTCATCATAGTCGGGAGAAGGGCAGCAAGCAGGCAGACATGCTGCTAGGGAAGGAGCTGAGAGTTCTATACCTTGATCCACAGGCACCAAGAGATTGTGAACCACACTGAACACAGCCTGAGCATGGGAGACCTCAGAGCCCACCCTCACAGTGATGAACATCCTCCAACAAGGTCATGCTTCCAAATAGTGCCACTTCCTATGAGCCAAGCATGCAAATGCATGGTCCCTGAAGTGATCATTATTCAAACCACCACAGTCTATGTAGTCCAGGCTGGCCTCAAGTTCACAGAGCTCCCATCTTTGCCTCCCTAGCACTGGGTGTTGCATTTCAGACCCTGGGAACAAACAGCTGAGATGCATGTTTTACATACCAGAGCAGACCTGGCCTCCAGGTTCTCTTGCATCCCTGCATCACTACCTGGCTTATCTGCCCTGAACTGCCCAGCCCAGGGGCTGGACTGCCCTTCCCTCAGAGGCTTTTTGCTATTTAACCCAGACATTTTGGTTTCTTCTCTTCTTCCCCTCTTCCCTTCTGTGTGAACAAGCTTTCACTCTTTCTCTTTCCCCTCGCCTCTCTCCTTCCTTGTGACAACTTCCGTGGCTCCTTCCTTGGGGCCAATGAACTCACCAAGAGAGCAGCTTCCCAATAAACCTGCAGTTATATATATTTCAATCTGGCTTGAATTGGCTCATTTCGCCAGCAGAGAAATAACTTACCACTGTGACTAGAGGTGTGTGCCACTATTGACCAGCCTTTTTGAAACATAATTTTTTTTTTTTTTTTTGGTTTTTCGAGATAGGGTTTCTCTGTGTAGCCCTGGCTGTCCTGGAACTCACTCTGTAGACCAGGCTGGCCTGGAACTCAGAAATCCGCCTGCCTCTGCCTCCCAAGTGCTGGGATTAAAGGCATGCGCCACCACTGCCCAGCAAAAAATAATTTAAATTTTTTGAATTACATCCATGTGGGGATGTGTGGGTCCATGCATGCGAGCACAGGCGTCCACAGGATCCAGAAGTTTGTAGCTAGTGATGGCTGTGAGCTGAGTGTTACCAGTGTCCTAGTCCTCTGGCAGAGCCCGGCCCACACTTAAAATCAGAACCATGTCCCCAGCCCCAAAGTCTTTCCTTTCTACGTACGGTTTTTACTATTTTATATGTATTTTACTTTATGCATATATGTGGCTTTGCTTGCAGGTTTGTCTGTGCCCTATTTTCACGTCTAGTGTCCCAGGAAGTGAGACAAGGGTGTCCTATTCCCCTGGAACTGGAGTTAGAGACAGTTGTGAGCCACCGTATGGGTGCTGGGAATGGAAGCCGGGGAAGAGCTTCTGGAGGAGTAGCTGGTGCTCTTAAAGTCTGAGCCATCTCTCCAGCTGCCAATATGCTTTTCTTCAAAATATCCCAGGATGGAAAAACCACGGAGCACAGAGCGGTGGCCATCTCTGAGCTCACGTTTCACAAAGAGGGAGAGACCGTTGTAAATTAACCAATGCCTCTCATGGAACAAACAAGGCGAATCTAATTCAGTCAGGCTTTTCATCATTTTTTGTCATGTAACCTAAAGAAACAGAGACGCTATCACTACAAGATGTCAGTGTTCTGGGTTACTCAGGAAAAATTGAAGAGAGAGACACGGGTGGGATGAGTGATCAGCCTCTCAAGGGCTGAATGCTGGCAATTTCCTTATTCACTTTACATCCCTGTCACAGCCCCCCCCAACAAATCCCTACCCCCCACTACCCCTCCCCTTCTCCTCAGAGTACACTCACTTGACAACATTCACTTAGGTGGTACACTACCCCACCTTGGGACATCTAGCCCCAGCAGGACTAATCATATTGTCTCCTACTGAGGCCCAACCAGGCAGTCCACCTAGGGGAAGGGGATCCAACGACAAGCAGGAGAGTCAGAGGCAGCCCCCTTCCAACTGTTTAGGGGACTGACATGAAGACCAAGCTTCAGTCTGCTAGAAATGTGTACAGGGCCTAGGTCCTGCCCCTGAATGCTCTTGGGTTGGTGGTTCAGTCTGTGAGCCCCATGAGCCCAGGATAGTTGACTCTGTAGACCTTCTTGTGGTGTCCTTGACTCTTCTGGCATGCTCACTTCTGCCCCTCACTTTTCTACAGGACTCCCAAGCACTGCTGAGCCCTCTCTTCAGACCCCTAGAAGTGCTTTTTATTGTTACACAAAAGGCAATTTTAGCAAGTCAACTTCTGCATACCAAAACTTCTTATAAGAGATAAGGGTTACATTACCTAAGATTCTCAGACTATGTCTCTGGTCTAAGTAATGTAAAGCCTCTGAGAACCCTTCGAAGGAACAACCCCATCAAACCTCAGATAACAATCACTGACTGTTTACAAAAGGCTACCTCAAAGCCTAGGTGCCATCACTCTGGAATTCATGAAAATGCCTAGACACCATTAGACAACTCTTCTGACCAAACATGTACCACAGATATTGAGAAGAAATGAAACAAAAACTCTTAAAACCTCCGAAAGCCAAGAATGGTGGCACATGCCTTGTAATCTCAGTCAGTAAACAGAGTGAAGCAAGAGACTTGTCTCCGGTTGAGACCAGCCTAGACTACACCTGCAAAGTTCTAAGCCTTCAAGGGTACACAGTGTGATTATCTCAAAAACCAAGAGCCTCCGAGAAGTCGAAGTGAGATTGGTGTATAAGATTCTGAAGCAGAAACGCATCTCAGGTCATTAACTTTAAAGGTTAGTGTTTGTCCATCTCCAACAGAGATCACTTTATGCAAATCTTTGTAGTCTACAAAGAGCCTACTTTTACAGATTAGTGAAGTGAGGCCCAAACAGTAGCAGCTTTCCAATCCCAACCAGCCCTATTCTCCATCATGAGCTGACAGGAATTGACACAAAAAGGGGCAATCTTCTTGTTGTTTTGTGTAAGGCACTGTTTTTATTAATTATCATTATTATTATCATTTTAATTTTTCGAGACCAAGTTTCTCTGTGTAGTTTTGGCTGTCCTGGAACTTGCACTATAAATCAGGCCAGCTTTGAACTCAACTCTCCCAAATGCTGGGACGCTCAACCCAGACACGTTGTTTTGGGGATTTTGTTTTTATTTTAATTTTTAAATTAACTTTACGACCAGATCACAGTCCCCTCCCTCCTGTCCTCTCAGTCCCACTCTTACAAATCCTGCCCCCTTCTCTTCTCCTCAAAGAAGGGGAAGCCCCCCAAGGTAGCCCAACCCTGGGGCATCTCTCAGCAGGTCTAGGCACATCCTTTCCCACTAAGGCTCAACTACTTAATCCCCCTCTCCGAGTCCGCGCTGGATCTACTGGCAAGGAACAGAGACCCAGACAAGCCCTGTTCCACTTGTTAGGGGACTCACATGAACACCAAGCTGCACATTTGCTACAAAAGTGTAGGGGGGGTGTCTCAGTCCAGCTCCTACAGACTCCCTGGTTGGTAGCCTAGGCTCTGTGAGCCCCAAGACACGTAGCTTTTAATCCGCACAAAAATCTGGGGTGAGAAGACATGAATTTGCCACCAAGTATAACCGTCCACCTACACAACTCAATGGCCGTCACCCTTAACCCACACCCACAAGGAAACTTAGAACCCACAAAAGCTGACGTCAGCCGGGCGCTCCCCATCCTCTCGGAGCTCCACGTTTCCCGAAAGGCTAAGCGGCGGTGGGGGCGCCCCGAAAAGGGGACACCATTGGCCTGGCCGGCGTCACGTGACGGCGAGCCCGCCGGCCTCCTCGGAGGGGGACGGAAGTGCGCTGGGGACTCGCCGCGGTGATGTAGCAGCGTGGGAGGGGCCGAGGCCAGCGCCGTCCGTCCACCGGCCGCCCCGATCGTGTGGTTGAGTCCGCACGCCGAGCGGCAGAGCGGGCGCCCGTGGGCTCGGCCGGAGTAGCCGCACCCTCAGCGGCGCCGCCATGGACGCGGAGGCCGCGCGCAGGTAACGCGGGCGCTCCCGGCTGGGGTCGGCCAGGCCCGCGGCCGGCACAAAGGCCGGCGTGCGCGTGCGCGGTGGGGACCTCCCGCTCCCCTTCCCCCGGTCCGCGCAGGTCCTCAGCCTCGGGTACCCGCGAGCTTTAAAAGGTGCTGTGTGCCGAGCCGCAGCCTCCGCCCGCGGTTCTCCACCCTCCGTCACCGTGGACTGTAAAGGCGGAGCGGGTGCCCTGTGGATGCGCTTGCGGCGGCGTCCTCCGCATCCTCGCAGGGTAGATCCTATTGCTATGGAGTGTATTTAACACGCCAACAAGGCACTCTTTAGATGTCTTTAATTCTGAGATGGTCTTTAAAATTGTCCCTTAGTGGTGCTGGGAATGTCAGGGCGGGCCCGCCCAAGTATAGGTTTGGAGATTTAGACTCTTCACAGAAAGCTAAATAAGAAAAACAAGATGGCAAAGTCTTCGCAGGTATACGGAATACCGATTTAGGTGTTAGGCCTGGCGAAGAATTAGCTTGCCTCTAAGTGGAGAATGGACATTGAACTTAGGCAAGAGATTCTGTCTTCGGCCCGCCTCCCTATTCGACGGCTGTATTATTGTACGTCTTTGAGCAGATTGATGGAGGCTAACGGGCAGTCCAGGGGAGTGAAATGAAAGCCTGGTTTATCACTGAAAGATTCAAGGGTGTCTACTCACAAGACAGGTAGATCTACCTGTCTCCAACTCTGTTCAACAGTTTACCAACCGCAGGGTGCCAGTGGCCTGCTGATGAAAGTGGGGAATGCCCCACCCCAACTTTCAGAAGGGTTTGTAGAACTGATAGGTTGAATTAGAGTCTAGATAAATAAATGCTGAATGGATGCAATAATGAATCATTAACAAAGAGAGGCACAGTCTTACATGTGTGTACATGTGTGTGTGGTCTGTCTCTATGCCTGTCTCTCACCGAAGAACAAATGTGTGTGTGTGTCCTTGTGTCATACTACTGAAATGTTAAATGAACCTAGATTATTATTATTTGGAAGGGTGTGGTTGGAGATTGAGCCCAGGGCCTCCAGTGTGCCAAGCAAGCACCTTACCACTGAGTCATGTCCCTCAACTCTCTTCCTACTCTTTATTTTGAAAGGTCTTGCTGTGTTGCCTTGGCTACCCTTGGATTCACTCTGTAGCTCAGGTGGACCCTAAATTCATGAGCCTCGTGCCTCAGCCTCCCAGATGACTGGGGTTATGGGCGTTTCCTGCCAGGCCTGGCATGAACTGGACATTCTGATTAGTCCTGAAGTCTTTGTGCACTCTGCATGTAGGAGCTAACGCACTGGTAAGTGTGCATTCTCCGTGTAGCACCAGCAGCGGCAGATGTGTACGTGGTGTTCCTTCATGGTCCACACTGCCAGTTCCTGGAGCTGTGTGTGTTGCAGTAAATATTATTTGGGGGTTTCTAGCCCACCTTAGGTCATTTAGTTCCTAAATAGAAGACTCAAAACTCTTTAGATTTATAATAAGCATAAAGCAATAGAGCTGGGCAGATGTCAACCATCTATGCTATTTTTTCTGCTTCCCTGTCAGTAGCCCTGAGATGTGACTTGCCATGTTTTGTTCAGGCTGTTCCTGCTGCATCAGGCCAGCCCTTGGGACCATGTGCTCCAGATCCATACTACCCCTTGGGGACTTCTTTCTCCTCTCTCTAGTGGTCCCTCCTGAGACCCCCAAGCCCAGGAACCTTCACTCCACCCCCTCTCTTCTACCCAGCGTAGGCCATAGGCATCTTTATTCAACAATCAGGGTTAACAGGGGGCAAGGTTTACACCACAAAAGCTGGTGTGTGTGAGGATTGTCTCATCCCGGAGAAACTCCTTTTGGTGGGGGGTGGGGGAGACAACCAGATCTTGGGGACCAGTATTTGGTATTTGAATAGATAGCAATACCAGACCAACTTCCTGTAGGGTGTTCAGCTCATTTAGCACTGGTCCTTGGTTTGTGGGTATTCACTATGATGTATACTTGTCCAAGTGAGATGATCGAAGGTATTTTGAACATGGCCCCCAGACACTTAAAATAGTGTAAAATGACTTAAAATTAAAGAAGTTTCTTGCTGTTTCTAGAGAAAATCTTAAAGATTTAAAATAGCAGATGAGAATTGTATTAGCTACTTTTTTGTTTTGTTTTTTAGCTTTGAGACGGTCTTGCTTATGCAGACCCAAGCAAACCTCAAACTCATGTTCATCCTCCTTCCCCTGCTTCCGTGCTGGGATAACAGGCAGACAGTGTGGTGATTTCCCATTGTTTTTTAGCTTTGAGACAGTCTTGCTTATGCAGACCCAAACAAACCTCAAACTCATATTCATCCTCCTTCCCCTGCTTCCGTGCTAGAATAACAGGCAGACAGTGTGGTGACTTCCCATAGACCTCTTAGTCAGCTGTGTGTCTTGAGAGACCACAGACAGCTGTAGGAACCAGTTCTGAGAACTGGATGTCGGTAGGAGTAGCTAGGATGGGTCTCAGAGAGAAGAAAGCAGCAGCCTGCAAAGGAAAGAAGCAGTTTGGATCAGGTGAGACCAACAGGTAAGGGAAGAATAGAAAACAGGGCACTTGTGTGTAGCTCAGGAGCCGTTATGTTTCAGAAATGGCAGGTCTGGGACCTATGGAGTTTATCACTGTCTTGGAATCACCTAGACATGGAATCAACTTAACCTGAGATCACCTAGAAGACAACACCTCTCTCTGCATCTGTCCTTAGGGTGTTTCCAGAGAAGTTTAACTGAGGAAACCTGTGAATATGGTGGTACTGTCAGTGGTCCGCCTCGCTGCAGACCTCTGCTCAATAAAGCTGAATGTTAGACTGCACTGCCCAGGAGAGTGTCAGGATGAGTCAGAGTGAAGGAAATTGAGGAAGCCTGTTGGTGGTGATGAGGGATAGTAAGCACGCATGATTACTTATAATTTTACCTCTAACTCTTTACTCTTGTGTGTGCTGCTCATGAATGGGGTGGGGGGGGCATGTGCCACAGCGTGAGTATGACGGTGGTTACAGGACAACTTTCTCGAGATTGTTTTCTTCTTCACCTTGAGGGTTTCAGATCAGGCTCGGGTCACCAGGCTTGGTGGCAAGCACCTTTACCTGGTGAACCATTTCATTGACCCAGGCATAGAGGGGGTGGGGGTGGGGGTGGGGCGTGGGGTGGGGTGACAGACTTAATTTGAAAGAATAATACTTACGTAACACATACAGCTCCTCAAGGGGCAAAGTCCACAGGTGTTTCCATTGACTATATATAAATTCTGTGTTTTTCTCTTGCCTTCCTCAAGGGAATAGAGTTTACAATAAGATTTAAAGAGTTAAAGTGAAAGAAGATACTGGCATTTGTCCTGTTGCTGTGTAGGGACACCATGACCAACTCTTATAAAGGGACACATTTAATTAGGGGCTTTGTCCATTAGCATTATGGTGGGGAGCAGACAGACATGGCACTAGAACAATAGCTGTGAGCTTTACATCCTGTTCCGAGTACAGCAGGCGGAGGGGGCGGGGCTGGTGTGGGCTTCTGAAACCTCGGAGCCCACCCCAGTGTCCCACTTCCTCCTACAAGGCCACCTCCTAATCCTTCCCAAACAGTTCATTCACAGCACAGGTCTGCTTTATTTGTTTTTGTCTTAAAAGGATTCCCCTTACCTGTAAAGTCATAAGTGATTGTGTAAGGTGTGTCATTTCGATCTAGGGACATGAGAGCAGTGTGTGTAACACAGTTAAACTCAGGGCCAGTCAGCAAGGCCTGACTAAGCTTAGTTTGTAGGGTTTTTGTTTGTCTTAAGATTTTGTTTATATTTATATATATATATACATATATACATATATACATACATATATATATACATACATATATATATATATATATATATATGCGCATGCTGTAGCTGTCTTAATCGGATCCCATTACAGATGGTTGCGGGGCACTGTGTGGTTCCTGGGAATTGAACCCATGACCTCTGGAAGAGCAGTCAGTGCTCTTTACCCCTGAGCCTTTAGTTTGTAGTTTTTAGTATCCTTACTTGTATGTCTTTAGAAAGATGGGCAGTCTCTCGGCAGTTGTGATTCTTTTGAGTTGTGTTGACATTTCTGACTCTCAGACAGACAGACTCTGGAATAAAAGACTTTCCTTCTTGTGCCCTTGAAGTTGCCCTGTTTACCCTTCTCGGGGCTGGGATGCAGACTCCACAAAGGGGAAAGGAAAGAGCCTGCTAAACACTGTGCTGTCTTTCTCTGCCTCGTGTCAGCACGTGGTGAGCACGTGGTCAGCACGTGGACCACCTCGACTTCCCCAGCAGGATGCGCTGTATTCTGAACTGGGTGTGGGAATAAGCTCTTCTGTTAAGCTGCTTTTTTTTTTTTCCAAGTATTCCCATACCAACCTGGAAAGGAATGAGTGCAGGGTCTGCTCAAATCTCAGCAGATTTAGTGCTGCTTAATGTGGAGACTGTGGAATCTAATTCTGCATTATCACAGCGGGGGAGGGGAAGCTGGAAGTGGGGGTGATGACTCAGCCCTCTGTGTTGCTGCCCCTATCCTGGAGAAGACGCTAGTGTACGTGTGTGTGTGTGTGTGTGTGTGTGTGTGTGTGTGTGCGCGCGCGCGCGCGTGCAACATAGTTTTTAAATCTTTTGAGCAGGAGGCTGGAAAGATGGTTCAACAGTCAAGAGCACTGCCTGTTCTTGCAGAGGGCATGAGTTCCCCATCACCCACAGGTTTCCTCACAACTGCCTGAAAGTCCAGTAACCAGGTCCTGACTTCCCTTCCAGCCTCCACAGATCATACATGCATGTCATGCACATAAAACTCATGCAGACAAGCATAGGTACACAAATCATTTGAAATGGAAAAAAAAAGAATTTATACAATTTGAAGCAAGTTTGTGTCATTTGCAGATATAACTAATATTCAATAATAGAAAATTAGGTTATCCAGAACCCTGGTTTTCTACTATTCAAATTTATGAAGGTTTCTGTGTATATGTATTGCTTTCTTCTGGCAAGCAGTAAGGATGTTACAGGACAGGAGAGGTGGCTTACTTGCTAAAGTGTTTACTGCATTACCTGTGTGGAAATTTGGACATGTGACTGTCTTCCTAGCACGGGGTAGGCAGAGACAGGAGGAGCTCTGTGGCTTGTTAGCCAGTGAGTCTATCCTGTCATGGAGCTTCAGGTTCAGTGAGAGACCTTGTCTCAGAAAATCAGGCAGAGAGTGATGAGGAAGAGGCCTGATAGTCACTATGTGATATTATGTGATAGTGCCCACATAAGAGAGGTTATATCCACCTTTCTGTTGGGTGGTCGGAAGCTAGTCCCATGATGCTAACGCTGGTTCTCATGCCAGGTCTGATCGTACATGCTTATAACCCCAACACTTGGGGAGTAGAGGCAGGAGGAGCAGGAACTAAGGGTCACGTGATCTCCGTAGAGACGAGGCCAGATTGGACTGCGTGAGACCGTGTCTCAAACAACAACAAATCCCTACGCAAAATATTTTAAATACCCTTTTTCTATATTTTTTTCACAATACCAATGAACTTTTAGTAGCTGTGTAGTATTTTCTCATGTTGCTGTAAGAGGCTCCATTGAGCCATTATATAATCTGAGAACTGTATTTAAAGAAATAAAAGTTTGGGAGTAGAGAGAAGGCCTAACAGTCGCAAAGGGCCTGGATTTGATTCCTGGCACCCACACGGAGGCTCATAGCTATGTGCATGCAGACAACACTTACACATAAAATTAACCTTTCAAATTACTGTTCTTTTGGAGTGTTGTTCTTTGTTTTAAAGAAATAAAACTTCAAAGGAAGAGTTAATATTCTTCCTCACTGGTGCCTGACATTCTCTCCAGCAACCCTTCTTGAAGCCAAAGTCCCTATCCACTGGAATCAGACCCCTGGTGTCTCTGACCATGCAGCACTACCCTAAGCTAGCCTCTCACAGTCTCTTATCCTGTGTCCCCTGTGTGACCTATGCTGAGGGATTGAGGAGGGAACTCCAGGCAGTACTGTGCAAGAGCCTTTCCCAGGGCCTCTCTGACAGCTCAGGACTCAGAGTGGGGCAGAGAAGCCATGATAAATATACAGAGTATTTCTCTCCCGTTTCATCATACATGCTCATGGGCAGAAAGTCTCAAGGCACATGTGCCTATTAGCATAGTGTTCTTGAATGGCTAAGCTAGGGAAAGGCATTCCTCCCTGGGGAATGAGTTCACACAGCAAGGCAGTGTGGGAGAATCTATTGTGTGCCACGTAAGGTTATCTAGGACGTTCTTTAGTTTATGGAAACTTGGTCTTTGTTTTGTTTTCTCAAGACAGTGTTTCTCTGTGTAGCTCTGGCTGTCCTGGAGCTCGCTCTGTAGACCAGGCTGGCCTGATTTCACCTGCCTGAGTGCTGGGACTAAAGGGTGTGCTGCCACTGGCCAGCAGTTATGTTACTTTTTGATTTGGCCATTTTACTGAGATAACTCTGAACTACAGAGGTGGCTTGTTTGACCTTTGCTGTTTTATTTCTGTATGTTTGAGTGTACAGGAGAGTGGGTGTACCGTCTATGTAAAGGTGCACACAGAGTCCAGAAGAAGGGGTCCAGTCCTGTAACGAGAGGTACAGGAGAGTGAGAGCTGCCTGGTATGGGTACTGGGAACTGAACCCAGACCCTCGGAGAGCAGTGAGTGCTTGCTCTGAACTACTACTCCATCTCTCCAGCTCTGACCTCTGCTGTTGGAGCTCTTCTTTCCCTACAAGACAGAGAGAGAGACAGAGAGACAGAGACAGAGCGCTAGCTGCTAAGCAGAGTGTCTTGCCATGGGAAGCATGACTTCTCTCTCCAAGAAGTAAATTCCTTCCCACTTTACTTCTGAATACATTCCAGATTTAGTGCCATCATTTGATGCTATAGTATCCTGCTATAGTGTATCCTGCTGTAGTATATGCTGCTCTAGTGTATACTGTTGTAGTATCCTGCTGGAGTGTATACTCCTGTAGTGTATACTGTTGTAGTATCCTGCTGTAGTATATACTGCTGAAGTAGACACTGCTGTAGTATCCTGCATCTGTGTTCCTTGCTTTCGTGCTGACAGAAAGCAGCTTGATACATTGCTTTTAGGCCACTATAGAAAGAAAGGCTTTTGGAAATTGCTTCCTTTGAAGGCTTGAGGTTTGGAATGGGTTTCCATTAGTTAGTTGCTTTCTGTGTTATGAGTCGGGGTCTGTCTGTAGCTGGGCAGGAATTACAGGTGTGCATCACCGTGCGAGCAAGGCCTGCATGCTTTGCTTTTAATGGAGTTTAAGTCATGTTCAGAAGAGAGGTTGGAGAACTTTGTTTTGTGGGTTGAGCAGATAGTTACAAAATAATACGTTTCTACTGTCTACAAAGTAGTAAGCATCAACTAAAACAAATAAAAGGGTAACAATAATAAAACAGTCAAATCTAATGAGTATACTTTTTTAAAAAACTCACACAAAGAAGCCAAAATAAAAACTAAGTTACACTGTTCCGATGGGAAAATTTTTGTGCCAAGATGGGGAGTAGTGCTTGTGGGAATATATTTTGTATTTAGGATTTTTTTGAATTCATATGCATTGATAGTCCTGCAAGCCTATCAGCTTGAAAGTTCTTGTGATCTCATTTCAGAGAAAAGGCAGGCAAGTTGTGTTGGTTGTATATCTGGCCACTGAACAGTAAAAGTTAACGTGTGTGTGTGTGTGTGTGTGTGTGTGTGTGTGTACTTGGCAAAGTCAGAAAAGCATTCACAGAGGAGAATAGACCTTCCTTCTCTCCTATTACCTGAGTAATGACTACAATGTGGCTATAAACTATTTGGATTCTGATGATTCTTTGATCGTTTAAACTCACCTGTGGGTAGCTTTTACTGTGGTGACGTGTACCTAATTGTTCCTTCAGCTATTCCCTGGAACAAGTTCCAGCTTTGTACTCATTTCCATTTCAACAAATGATGGCAGAAGCTCCCAACATGGCAGTCCCAACTGGACAGCAGGTGCTAGCAGAAGCTCCCAACATGGCAGCCGTGACTGAACAGCAGATGCCTGCAGAAGCTCCTGCCCAGGACCCCGTACCAGGTAGTTCTTCCATGGTCTCCCTTTAATGCCTCCGCCTCCAGCAGAGCAATTAGTGAACACATGCTAAGTGCTGCAGTGGGCACAGGATGGGTGACCAGAGACCTCACAGCATTGGCATTTAACTTGGTCCAGGTGCTCAGAGGCAGCAGACCAGTAACACAGGAGCTCCAAGAGTCACCCATGAACAACAAAGGAGGGGCTCTGCCAGCTGAGAGGCAGTTGAGGCATGGCCGCCAAACCCTCGAGTGAGTGTGAGTCACTGGATTCTGGAGCAGATGAGGCAGACAGGCTTATGTGGCCCCTCAGGAGTGCACACTCTGTTCCCAAAGCAGTAGGGAGCAGTTGGGAGAGTGGGAGCCGAGGAGTGACTCAGATGGATGGGCATTGAAAGTTAGTCTGGGGGGTGTGTTAAGGGCAAGACTGGATCGAAGGCACAGAGTGGGAAGATACGAGGGATACTGGAGAGCATGGAGAAAGAGTTGAGAAGTACTCAGGAGGTGCAGTTCCTCTGCTACAGTCGCTGTAGTCCATGTCGATGCTGAGCGAGAAGGAGAGACCGGAAAGTTCCGATCGTAGTCCCTTACATTATTATAATGACGAACTTGATGCTGAGTAACATTTTTTAATAACATTTTTTTAAAAGGATGCATGTGTGTGTGTGTGTGTGTGTGTCCTGTTAAAATTTTTTATGTGTATGGATGTTTTATTTGCAAGTCTGTGAACCACTTGCATGTCTGGTACCTTCTGAGGCCAGAAGACAGTGTGGCACCCCTTGGAACTGGAGTCACAGAAGGTTGTGAGCTGCCAAGTGGTGCCAGGAATCAAAAGGTCCTCTGTGAGAGCAGCCAGTGCTCTTAACCACTGAGCCACATCTCCAGCCCTGAGAAAAGGGTTTTGTGCACAGTTCTGAAGGTTCGGGGGCTTGGCCTCACCGTTTGCTCAGCTCTGAGAAAGGTCTCATGGTGGATGGTACCACAGTGGCAGAGGTTCGTGTGAGAGAGAATGACCTCAGCAGATAGGAAGCCACAGAGACAGGGAGCTGATACTGCCTTCTGAGGGCATCCCCTGACCTGAGGACCCCTTACTTGGCTTTGCCTCTTAACAGTTCCATGTCTCCCAACAAAGCTACCGTGGGACTAAGCATCAAACATAGGAACCTTTGGTGGGCAGACTCAAGCATTATCCAAAGCATTCATAGATTTCTGGCATGCAGTTGGTTGCACGAAGTACCACGCTGAGATAAAGAATGGGAAGAGAAGCCACATAGATGGAGGTGTTTTGGGAGCAGTAGCAGCATTTATATGAAGAATGTGCTCACAGTTGACTTGTAATTTCAGAACCACACTGAACTCAGTAGCTGGGGCTGTCACCTGCCTCACTTCTGTGTTTGCAGACACTGAGAACTAGGGGTCTCCAGCTGCTAGTCTATGGTGGTAGAGCCCTGGTAAGGAGAGACTGAAGCAACCTTCCAGGCATGGTTGGGAAAATACATAGGAGAATGGGCCAGAGCAAATAGGAAGACATTCAAAGAGTCAAGGATGAGGGAATCCAGGCTTCCCGTTGAATAACTTTGAGTCTGTTTCTCAGCCAAGAGTACTTTGTGCCTCAAGACACATTACCATTGTCAAGAGACACCTTGGACTGTCAGGACAGACATTTGTTGGGTAGAAATGGTGGGTGGTGTTACACACACTCTGTAATGTGCAGAGTAGGCCTCAACACACATTGTTCAACCTTCATGTCAGTATGTGGAGGTCCTGAAAACACATCTCTGTTCTTGCCTTTGAGCAATGCTGCCAGCCCGAGAGAGCTTGTCTTCAGCACTTTTAAGTCACTTTGAATGTGTATGGAACAGTCTATGCCTCATGACTTCTAAAACAAGCCATAAGCCACCTGTGTGTCTGCTAGTAGGAAGTGAGTTAAAACCCTTTCCCTTTGAGGCCAGAATCTTAGTATATAGATCAGGGTGACCTTCGACTCATGAAATTCTTTACCTGCCTCCTGAATGCTTATATTAGAGGTGTGGACCACCTTGTCTGGCCTTGTTCAAAAATGTGTCTACTTAACAATTTATGCACTTAGAATACCTATAAAACCAAGAACCCAACTATATTGATATTGTACAGAAGATCCATCTGTGACCATCAAATGTGCCTAGGCAGGGAGAGGGCTAGGAGGGGAAGCTGCAGAGGAGATAGAGATTCAAGGGCATCTTGGGATCGGGTAACATGGTATTCATAGGGTGACTGACTGCTGTGGAATTGCCAGCAGTCTCTATGTTTTCTGCCACCACATTCTGGGAATCACTGTTTCAGAGGCTCCAAAGAGAAGGAAAAGGAAAACCAGGGCAGCCGAGCCCCAGGAGCCAGTAGAGCCCAAAAAACCTGCTGCGACAAAGAAATCCGGCAAGTCCACAAAAGCTAAAGAAAAGCAAGAGAAAATCACAGACGCGTTTAAAGTGAAAAGGAAAGTGGACCGATTCAATGGCGTCTCTGAGGCTGAGCTTCTGACCAAGACTCTTCCTGACATTTTGACCTTCAATCTGGATATTGTCATTGTAAGAATTTTTGTCCTTGTTTGACAATAGATAGCACCAGAGGATTAACTTTACTTGACAATGGTTCATGGAAACAGCATTCTTCTGAAAAGAAGAGTTTTGTTTGTTTTGGGTTTTTTTTCAGATGAGGCTTCTCTATAGCCTTAGCTGTCCTGAAACTTGCTCTGTAGACCAGGCTGGCCTCGAACTCAGCGATCCAACTGCCTCTGCCTCCCTAGTACTGGTATTAAAGGCTACACCACTACCGCCTGGCTATTTTCTTTTCTTTCTTTTTTATTTTTTTAAGTAGAGAACTTTATTTAATTTTTTTAAGGAAAAACACAAAATAATTTGATAGAATGCATGGTGTAGGGGGTGTGGCAGTAACAGAACAGCCTGCGATTTATATGGATTTCACATATGAAACAATGGACTATTTGTCTGAGTTTTTAAGCCCTGTTTTAAAGATAAAAGTGTTCAATTATTTTGTTTTCTAGATCGGCATTAACCCAGGATTAATGGCTGCTTACAAAGGGCATCATTACCCGGGGCCTGGAAATCACTTCTGTAAGTGCTACCTTTGAGTGAGCTGTTTTTATTAGTAGGATTAATGGACTGACTTTACAGTGACAAGAATGATATAAATGAGCTGCATGCGTTGCATGTTTCCCTGAGTATGGACATGGAGGTCCAGGGTCCGGCGCGGTCTGTCCC